GTGGAAAGAAAGGTGGGGAGGGAGACTAGTCCAGTTGTTGGGAGAAGAGGCAGAAAAGCGTGATGTGGAGTTGTTTAATTACTTAAAAGAAGAGTTGATGAAGAAGGTGGAAAATAGGTTGGAACGAGTAGAGAAGTTACAGGATGAGTTGTTAGGATATGGCAACAAAAAAGGTAATGAACAAATTGCATAAACAAATATACAAAAAATTATTTTTCATTCATTATTTTTCATTTATTTATTTGTTTGTTTGAGAGATATCTGTTACAACTTTAACTGACACCTACTCATTTTATTATTATTTACATACATCCATACATTCCAAATATTGTTGCAGGGAATGCAGAAGAGGGAATATTGCAAGGTAAGAGACAGCTAGATGAGGATGAAGAAGGTAGGTTTTTGTGAATATACAGCATTTAGAGCAAAACTGTTACTAAGTTAGGAATTAAATTATTGTGCAGATCAAAGAAAAAGAGCAAAAGATCACAGATGGGACCAAGCATTTAGAATAGATTTCAAAGATCCAGTTGATTTTGTGCAGTATCTAGAGGAACATATTCAGGATGGTTTCAACAATTATAAAACTCATTACAGTTACATTTGCCTTGGTTCAAAGTTCTGGTTATGGAAAGACTCAAGCTGTTGGGGAATTATCAAAAAAAGGCTATTGGATAACCTTGTTTTGTTTTCGTGGAATTGGGTCATCAGGGTTTCCTTTAGAAACACCAAAATCTTGTGAATTTTCTTAAAGAATGTAATAATGTTTATGAGGTTGCAAACATATGTTTGTACTGGATTGGTGCTGTGGTACAAATTATAACCAAGAAAAAATATACACCTGAACAGCTTTGGAAGATGCAAATGGTAGGTGATTAAGAATTTATCATAATGTTTTTCATGAATTATAGACTAAATTTTTGCAACATTTGATATGATATAGACACATGACAATAAACTTTATAGTTTTTGGAATGAAATTGTAGAAATGCGAGAGTCATTTAAAGAAGGACCTGATAAAGTCATTAACAATACAAAGAAATTGTGTGAGGAACAATTCAATAGAAAAATTTTATGTTTGTTTGATGAAGCATCAGCTTTGCTAGATGAAAAGGCTAATATTGATGGTAAGTGGCTTGTTTTACAAAGTATATAAATTATTTATGTAGTATCAATAATGCTTATTGAACTTTTTACTAAAAAGAAGAATCCAGCAACTTTGCATATAGAGGATGTAGAAGAGCACTAGCATATATCAGTTCTGTATTTGGTATAATGACTGACACAAACTCAAGTGTTGCAAATTTAGTCCCCAAGCCAAAGATGACAAATCAGTAAGTTAGTTATTAGGAATTTTATGCATATTTCTTATGGATTATTTACCATCATTTCTTTTTTTCTTTAAGTCTAGAATTATTAATGACACAAATATGAGTCTGCTAGATCCTTTTATCCATATAGCAACAACAGATATATTCAGGTTTAATTTTATTCTCTTTATTTGTACTTGAATTGGTGTAACAAATATTTATGATTTTGTACATGCTTGTATAATATAGCAAATCTGATTCCTTGCCTCAAGAAATCCAAGTATTACAAGGACAGCAAGGGTTTAATATTTGCCAGTTTGGACGACCTCTTTGGATAGCCTACATAGTAGCAAACAGAAATGTGAAAGGAACTATATCATTTGCCCAAAGTAAACTTCTTGGTGGAATGGATCCATCAGTACTGGTTATACATGAAGTCGAAACTATTTTGGCCACTTGCAGATCTGGTCAAAATAGGGTCAAAATAAGGTCGAAACTGATTTTTACTATGTAGTTGCCTCAAGTCAAAACATTTCGACTTTGGGGTTTTAATTTCGACTTCATGTATAGTACTGGTCTCAAATGACAATGATATGAAGAAAAATCATTTAAAGCAAAAGATTGTCTTGTCACATTTTGGATGCACTGTTGGTCTTCACCTTTGTCCCCAAATGGAACTACCTTCCCAATTGGCTAGTAACCATATGGCAACAATAGTGGCTATCAATGAAGATAGAACAGAGCTGCTAACTTGTTATCCATCTGAACCAATTCTTTCTGAAGCAGCCATGAAAATTTTAAGTGTATATCATTATCGACTAAAATCAATAGAAATTTTAAACAGTATTATTTGGGAAGGTTGCATTGTAGATGATGGTGACAGGGATGAGCTTGGGATGAGAATTATACTATTGACTGCTTGGATGCATACAAAACCATTGGATTTTTATTCTTGATGGATCAATGTTTCAGATTTCCTGCAAGCCCTTTTTCCACAATCAAGCATTAATATTTGTCCTATATGGAAAGATTATGAAATAGGATTCACACACTTTATTCCAATAACATATCAACCAAACATAGAAACTATTAAAAAAGCATGGGAAAGGTATGGAGCAATAATCCTAAAGTGTTATCAACAAGGTGGAGATCTTATGTTGGTTGTCCGGAATAAAAAAACAGGGAACTTTGGACATCAGGAAATTTTTCTGACATGGATTTATGTAATTATTACACTATTTACATAAGTTTATGGCAGGCCTGTAATATTATGCAAATAAGCATACAAAAATTATGCAATTATTACATCAAGTGTAAATTTTATGCAAATATTACAACTTTACATATTAAGATTTACAGATGTAATATTGCAGCAGGGAAAATTTCCTGATGGATGTATTGTGGTTCAGGTTTGTGACTTTAATATTTTGTAAGATCTAAGTGATATTAATTTAAATAATTAATATGTTATAATGGTAATGCTAGATAAAAAACTGGGCAAGAAGACAAACCAACTTTGATAGTGAAGGGGGTAGACAACTGAGGGCAACTCATGTTTTTAGTAAGGAATTAGGAGAAAATGTTGGTAAAGAGTTTTATTTGGGCATTTATGACCACCTTGGTAAGTGATATAACAGCAACTTTTTTCCATTCCCTGCCTTATAAAAACATGCTCACTTTTTTAAACAATAGGAGAAGCATATACAGAAGATTCAAGCATTACATTTTATAATTACAGCCAAAGTATGGGAAGATGGAAACTCCAAAAAATTGATGAAAATAAAACAACTACTAATAGGATTGTGGTTCTGGGGTTGTCAAATTTTTATACTACCAATGACAGTGAGGAGTTAAAAACAATGAAGTCTCTTGTACAAGCATGGGATAATCCATTGCTATGGAATGGACAATCATTTGATAATAAGAGACAAACATTAGTTTCATCTATGATACCATTGAAAATGTATTTTATAGTTAATCTTGTAGTTGAATGTGCATATGTTTATTAATTTTTTATAGACATTATGATCAATAAACTTATTATCTTTTAAGTGTCATGGATAAAATTTGCCATCTTTATTTATGACATCTTTGTGTGTCCAGTCAATTTTGCTAAGAATTTTGTAAAATATAAAACAACCATAGAAACCTACAAATGAACATAAAATTATATATATAGGGATAAGTGTATATGAAAGGTAATAATGAAAATAACAAATACAATGGTTCTAATGAATATGAAAAGGCAATTGATTTTTTAGAAAAAGCTTGTGATTGTGGTTGCTCTTCAAGAATTCCCAAGGAAGAATTTGCAGAATTAAAGGAATCCTTTCCAAATCTGAACAAACCATATTTTTAATGGCCCAACTTAAAGCAATGGATGGTGGTTCAATAAGTGATAGTAGACGCCTTAAAAGAAAGCTAGATCTAATAAAAGAACTTTCTATCATTGGGATCACAATACACTCCTTTGTCAAGAAACTTATCTTAGTATGTTAGGAATTGGTAGGACTTATTTTGAAAATATTAGAAATCATCTGATAAAAAATGGTCTTCTACCAAGAACTCATGGTAATATTAAAAGGATGCCTCAATGGAAAACTAAAATGGTGATTGATAAAAATGTTGCGGAAGTAGTAAAGAATTTTCTAGAAAATTATGCAGAAGTCCATGGATTACCAAGTCCAGGCAGAAGTGTCAATAGAATAACTCAA